GTTATGAAAGATGTTAAAAAATTGAGCATGCTGGGGACTGACATCTCTTTCCACGTGGTGGGCATAGGATAGGGCACTGCCATGAACACATGGAAGACACGAATTTTTCAAAGGACCCCCCTTACTAAACAACAGTGGTTAAGATTTCTGTCTAATAACTGTCCTGATTTGGGGTGTCAGGTTATGCTGTTGGTTTGTAACATGTGATTTATAGGCAGACTGAGCTGTACATTTTCTTGCTTAATGTCTGTAGAGGAACAGGTATGAGGAGTACCCATTTAGGAACACGATGCATCCCAACTTTCCCTCTTTTTTATGAGCTGATGCCTCAGCGTGGAAGCAGGGAAAACAGACATATAAGGTCATTTGCTGTAATGGTTTGCTCATTGCCTTCTGAGGTCAGTCTTTTCTAGGAGGTGCCTACTGGATGAGGAAGGCAACTGTGCACCAGCTAATACAGCCACCTGTTTGGTCCATTTGCCTGATTTAGGCTCGGTGTACCTTGCAGAGATGGATGCTACTGCTGGAATGGAAGAAATGGGTGAGACAAATCAAATTTAAAACAGTTTGGAAAATGATTTGGAAATAGGTGTTATTCCAAATGTATACTTGAAACCCTATCAGTAAGTGATGTGGTAATAGCAGTGTGGAGATGTTAGGAGCTGCCCTGATACTTCTCAGAAGTTTCTAGCATTTCTCAGAACAGCTGGCCAAAAAAACCCACCCCAGTTGCCCTCTATTTTGGCAACTAAATTTAACAGGTGACAGGTACTGTTCCTCCACTCATGGTCCCCAGTCATTAGTGTTTTTTTTTCCCTGTGTCCTTATTCACGAAAATACTTTTCCCCCAAGAATTTCTGAGAAATGCTTCTTCAAACTGTTTTAAGTAAGTCTTGAAAGAATTGATACTGCCAGTTACACCAGATTCATCGGTACGTCCTGAGGTCTTGCAGACCACTGTCAGGATTACTCCTGCCTTGTCTGGTAATACAACCACTTACATTAAAACCAGCTCTTAACCCCCTCCGGTATTGCCCACCCTGAGAATTCAATGTCCCATTTGCAATTCCATAACCAAGTTGTCAAATAGCGTCACCAACTTCTAGGTAACCTGCGCAAGATGGGAAATCTCATCTTGGCCCCTTTCCATTTATTTGGAGTCCAAGCTCCACAGCTGCCATTCCACTGGAGATGGGCGACCGCGCAGTAAGCGGTGCCAAACAACACGCTCGATAAATGACTTGTACCTACGCGGAAAGCGTAGGCTATTCCAGTTGGTTTCTCTCTGGAGAAAGAGCCCTTGGAAATTAAATTTTCAGTTAGTAAATTCCAGGTTTTGTTTCTTTGTTTTGTATCTTCCCAGATTCATTGCCTGCTCGATAATGCTCTTAAATCTGTATTATAACCTTAAATTCAGAATCTGAGTATGTAGAAGGAAAAAAGAGAAAAGCCTTGGGAAAAAATGTTTGAAAAGCTGTAAATATTTTAATAAGCATGCGTTGCTTTAGATTTATATATCCCAGCTCCAAATCTCTGAAGCAGACGGAGTAACTGGAAGGATTGTATGTCTGGGAAGATGAATAGGACAGTTTTGTTGATAGCCGCACAGCAAGGGGATAACTTCTCATTAGGCATTGGTTTTCAGATCCGGAAAATGCTGTCTCATTCCCCGCCCGCTGCCGGTGCGCACACGTGCCCTGTGCAGCCGCTCCGGGGAAAGGGAGCAAGGGGAGAGGAGTGTCAGGAGGGGGGCTGCCGGGCTAGGAAGGATTCCTTCCAGCCGTCTGTCCTTCAGAGGAGGAAGATGAATTCTTGTTGGCTGTATTTTTATTAGTTTGCTCAAAAGCGATCAGTGTGGTATTTGACGGCAGAGATCAGTCACGAAAGACTGCTGAGTGCTGTACTGGCAGCTCGCTGCTCGCTGTATGCGTGCCTTAAAAATGGCTCGTCCGCCAGCCTTCACGCTATTCATTCCCTGGCAGAGGAAATTACTCATTAACTATGCAAACGTACATGCAGGGATTGAAGTCCTAAACTGGTCGCCGAGAGGATGTCAGGCAGAACTGCTTGTTTTCGTTAGAGCATGAAAATGAATGATCTGAGACAGTTCTCCTTTCGGCATTTTGAAGTTTTCATAAATGGAGACAGAGAGAGAGAGAGGCAGGGGGGAGGACTTCTGTTTATATAGAGCATGGTTTGATCCTGTTAATGTTAATATTATTCTCCATACAAAAACTTCCTGAACAAAGGATATTTACCAGCCACAAAAGCAGCTTGTCCTTCCTTTCCTTACCTGTCTTTCAAACATCATGCACCATTTAAATACTTCAATAGAATATGACCAAATCCCACTCCTTTCATCCAGCGAGATGCCTTTGGTGGGTCGTAGTCTCCAGCATCAGTTCATCATTAAAAGACAAGTTTAAGGTTTTGTGGCAATTGGGAAAATTAAAGATTGGAGAGACACAAATTAAGCAAAATCCTGTTTTAATCTGTTGCAGACACAGAGAAAAGTCAGGCAGTAGAGGACAGGGATTCTTGATTTCTTCTTTGTGTTGTTGTCTTTCCCTTGCATCTGTGCTTTGGGAATAGGTAGACTTGAGTTAGACTTAACTTGCCCTTATTCCAGAATTACTGGCGGGCATTGCACAGGCCTGCTTCCAGATGGGTACAACTTAATCCTGAGAAGATTCCAACCGGACACAAGGGGAAAATTTTTCACAATGAGAACAGTCAACCACTGGAATAATCTCCCCAGGGGAGTGGTTGACTCCGCCACATTGGACACTTTAGAGATGCAGCTGGACAGGGTGCTGGGCTGTCTTGTCTAGCCTGTGCTCTTGGACCAGATGGTCCTTGAAGTCCCTTCTAACCTGGTATTCTATGATTTTGTGATTCAGATATTAGCCACCAACACCCAGAGAGAGGTTTAGGTGTGTGGCAGGTGGGGAACTGCACCTTTCAGAGACTCTTCAGAAACTATGGCGTTATGCAGCAAGAGACTTGATGAACAAGCCTGAGCAGACAGAATTCAGGCTTTAAATGAACAGTGGTTGGGTGGTTTGTCATTGCACAAGTCAAGACAAGACTTTCTTTTGGTTTTGTGCAGAACAGTTCAATGTTTGTGAGATATGAATTTGTTAACAAAGTGATACGACTGAAACTCAATAGAAAACTTAATGTCTAGCTTATCTGACTTCTCCCCAGTGTCCCAAGGCAGATAACAGAGTAAAAGAGGTTACTGCCAGGTGAGATGGGAACTTGGCTTCTCCAAACTGCCCACTGGAGGAGCTTCTCTTTAGCTGCTGATTATGTTAATCTAATACAAGGGAAAAACTGTTTTTCAGGCACAAAGTTGAGATCCTCAGAAAATCTGAAAGCCAAGGTTGCTTACATTAACTCCTGTTGTTAGGTTTGTCCAAGGCAGGATTGGCAACAAATCAGAACTGAATCCTCTGCTTAGAATAGAAATAGGGTACCACGGTTGCCATGGGGTGGCAAATGTATTCAGGAGCTGTTATTGGATGCTTGCCCTTTATAGATCACCTACGACATTGTCCTGAGTTCAGACCTTTCCTAAAAGGGTTTCAAGGTAAAACAATGCCTGTGCAAACTGCCTGCTGCCTTGGGAGTGATCCAACGGCATTTAAATGCCTCCTGTGAGCTCTTTCTGAAGGTCATCGGGAGAGGAGAATGCAGGAAAGGAGTATCCCACTCGAGCATGGGCTAATTCAATCTGGTGATGATTCATGTTTCACGTCCCAGGACGGCTTGATAGTTCATGTATTTGTTACCTTTTATAGCAATGCAAAACACGTAAAATTCAATTGTACAAATCACAACAACAGAACAAGAGCTTAACAAAATCAAAATATGCTTCTCACTCAGCCTTATCAGGCTAGGCGTTCTCCTGAAAATACCAGTAAACCCCATAAGCGCTCTGCTTTAACACTCTTTGAAAGCCTAGGGAAAAAGGAAATGGGCCTGTAAGCAGTTCCCAAAGACGGCAAATTCACTTTTTACCAAATATAGTAAAAACAAGACTTCTGCCCTGTACCTAATGAAATCAATGGGAGTCTTGAGACAGACACCAAGAGCAGCTAGCTTAAACCACTGGTCGTATGGTGCAATAAGACACATATATCTTCAATTTAAGAATACACTGGGAGCGGAAACAAGCACCAGCTGTGCACCTTGGATAGCGGCCGGTTGGCCACCTAGAGGAAAGCTTGAAAGAGGCTAAGAAAACCCTTTTTTCACTCCTCACTGCAACAGTCTAGAACAATGAGAGCTCTTGTAATCGGTGTGTTGTGATGGCCTTCCTCCAAGGCTTGCACTTATTTTAATTACCAATTGATAAATTTATTAGTCTGTCAGAGATTTGGCTCCTCTACATTCAAACGGAAATTTCCTCCTCATTTATAAGTAAGGAGACCCATTTGTGAGACCAAGATTGAGAAATCTGTGTGTTATTTTTCAGATCAACAGTCTTTCAATTGTTTTAGTATGGAGTAAAAAAACACTCCCCAAAACTAAAGAAATAAGCTTACTTCCACAATAAGAGCTCTTTGTGTACATGTCTGCATGTATGTACAGACATGTCATTTTTTTATTCAGAATTTTGTCTTTTCTCTGTGGTCTTTTCTCATCTGACCCTTCCAGGCAGTGATAGCTTGTGGCAGCAGTGGCTTATGGACCACTACGCTTCATGACCCTGGAGGTATTTAAAAGATGGGTAGACAAGGTGCTTAAGGACCTGGTTTAGTGGCAGATGGCAGGGTTAGGTTAACAGTTGGACTTGATGATCTTAAAGGTCTTTTCCAACCTAAATGATTCTGTGATTCTGTGACGTTACGGTGTGCTACCCTCCCACGATGCAGTGAAACCACTGAATTTCATATTCTTTTTGCCTGGTAAGGAAAAGCAGCCGAAGCTGGTCAGGGTTTGTGCTTAGAGACCCGTGCTCCATGGCTTCTGTAGTTTCAGATATGGCACTATTAATAATAAAAATAAATAATCACCTTCTTGCACTGGCAATTGCTTTCATGGGTTCTTGCGTCGAGTTTCAGTTTGTGCTAGTGGGACAATAGCTGATTTGGGCCACTCAGAATCTACCTCAATTTCGCTTGAGTTTAACTTTAAGCACATTAGGATATCCAACTGTGAATAATGATCATATGTTTGGGTGTTGTTTCCTAGCGAGGCCCTGATCCTCTGTGCAAAGTGTAAGATCTCCCCAGCTGGCTCTCAGCTGGCTGATTTTCTCGCCCCACTGCGCTCTGCGGCATCGGAGCTCGGACGTGAGCGATGGCGTCAGTGTACAACGTCGTCTCGCTCCGCAGCCGCGGAGCTCTGTGTACAGCAACTCGGAGAAACAAATAGGAAACAGGATTTCCCCCAACAGGCATCTGATTTTTCAGAAATGAACCATTGTAATGGGATGTGCAGCTGAGCAAAACCCGTAGTTTATACTAAATGCCTTGAGGGGCCAGCTCCGGCCTTGACAAACATGGCAAGCGGAACTTCCAGCTCCCTTCTCTTGAGCACCAAGCTCTAGCTGGTTCCCTTTTTCTATCAGTATTTACTAGAAATAATATTCTTGTTATGGTTTTGTGCAGGATGGTTTCTGGTAACTGCCAGACCAAGAAACCTGACCGTGTTTGTTTGCTACAAACACTACCAGCTTTACGTGCTCTCCAGCCTCTGGGAACCCAGGAGAGCCGGTGCTTGCCTCCTGCTGCAGCCTCTGGGAGAGGCCCTTTCAGGAACTCAGCTCTTTGGATAAAAAGTCTCCCTCTTCACATGAGAGCATCCTGGAGTGAGAGCATTGCAGCGTATTTTAAAAGCTTTCTCTGTCTGGAAATTTTCCAGGCAGTCCCTTACCTACCGATGTCTTCCTCCTCCTCCTCTCCCCCTCCCTTCTTAGATCTCCCCAAGCAGATCCATATCATTAATATTTCAGCATCAGCTGTTCACAGGCATTGGCTACGCTGCAGGGCGCCTCATCAATAAGAGCCAGCAAAGGCTGTGAGGTTTGCCACACTGCCTTCATCCAGCAGAGGAGTAAGAGCAAAGACGAGAGACCAGCAGAGAAACCGAGTATCCGCCAAGGGTAAGGCTGCATCTTGCGGTCCCGGTCTTGAGCTGCTTTTTGCTGCTGTCCCCCTCTCAGATCGTCCAGGTAATACCGGAGTGAGCGACAAGAATGGATGTCTTTAAGAAAGGTTTCTCCATTGCTAAAGAAGGTGTGGTGGCTGCTGCAGAAAAGACCAAGCAGGGAGTGACGGAGGCTGCAGAGAAGACTAAAGAGGGGGTGATGTACGTAGGTAAGAGAGAACTATTTTCAGTCTACATTTGAGCATGAACTGCTGCATAGACCATTCTGAGAAAGTCTGGGGAAATTATATTGTGGCTAAAGCTTGGGAGCGGATGGCAGGAGGTCTGGACAGCAGCCTCAGCTCTGTCACAGGGAGGCTGTGTAAGCCTGGGGTGCCACATCCTCCCTGTGCCTCAGTTTCCCCAAATTAGACACAGAAAGGGCCACTGCTTTGGGGGAGGCAGAAGGAGCGCGGCATTAAGGAGTGTATGCCCAGGTGGGAGGCTTCTGTTGTTCCCTGACTGTTTGCACGGCGAGTCCCTCGAGCCAAGCTCTGCTGGTCTCCGCCTCCCCTCCCCGCCGCGAGCGACACGCTGATGAGGTCCCTGAGAGGGGCCGGCAGCGTTATTAAGTGGGGATTGCAGGATGCATCTGTTTCCCCGCAAACATGCTGTTTTATCCTGAAATCCTTCTCCTGTTCACCAACCTGTTTTGTTCCCCATGCACACATTAATCTTGCTTTGCAAGAGACACCCGAATTCATTTTGCCCGAAGGATGGGATCTGGAAAACAGCACTCCCGATGTCCTGCTGGAGACCTCTCTCACAGTTAATGTCCTGTTTCAGAAACCTCCCCTTCAAGGTCACCCTTGAAACCCACTATCTCCACTATCTAGCGCATATAATTACATGGCTAGATGGTCAGATACTCCAGATACTATAAAATCTATGAAGTCTTAGGTTCCCAAGACTGATTACCCCGTGCTAATTACTGCACCTCACATGGCTTTTTATGTTTGCTAGATGTGGGAGTGAGGGGGTTTTTTTGTGGGAAAGTTTACATGCAGGCTCTTCCTGCTATCGTCCTGCCACATCCACAGCTGTATGTAGCTACTATATTTAAAACCGTTATATTGACAATAGCTACTGATTATATATATATATATATATTTGTAAATTGCCAATGAAATACAAATGTTATGTGTAGCAGATCTGGTAACATCTTCATCCCAAAATTTTAAACACTCAGCTACTGGCATGCTGTGAATGAACGTATGTAACTGTCCACATTTCAGTTTGAAGCTGACTGGCGAGAAAAAAAGGTAAACAGCATCCCTGTAAATAATTAAACTAAGCACAGTAACTGAAACACCAGCCTGCGAAACGCCCCATCTAGGTGTCAAATTATGGCATCCTTGCTGCTCCAGCTGCTTCCTGATTTGAGTGATGTCAGAAAGGATTATTCCAAATTTTTGCACATAATTCCTCACATCCCTGTTCAGTCGTGTTGCACGTCTCCATATTGTGACCTGTTTTTCATTTCTGCACAGCCATAAGGTTCAGAGTCTGCTCATGAGACTCCAACCTTTCCAATGAAGTTTTCTCAAAGCCTTCTTAAAACCTAAATCTCTGAATGAGGACCAACTAAGGATCAAGGTGAAGATGAAATGCTTTCTCTTTTCCTTTTTTTTTTTGTTTTGGTTTGCTGGGGTTTTTGGTATTCCGCCAACGCCTGCCCTGTCATGCACTTGGGTAGTGCTGTGGCTCGGGGGGCTGATTGTGCCTGTTGTGTGCTGGGGGATGCTCAGCCCTTCGGGGAATATTCAGACTTTCACAGGCAGGAAAAATAAAGGCCAGATGCTGATTAGCTCAGAGAATTGATTTTTAAATAGAGAAAGTGGCCAGGTATATCGATTAAAGCTGGAGTGATTAGTGTGTTGTCTGTGCCCCCTTTTCTCGCTCTGTGGCACATGAAGGGTTAATCAGAGACCTGAACTCTTCCTTCCTTGCTCCTTCCTTTGCAGAGCCCTATCTTAGCAGCTTGATCTGGAGCGTTATGTGATGCTTGGAGAAAATACTTCTTGTATAAATGCTTGAGGGTCTTTTTCAGAAAGTCAGGAAGCAGGGGCGGGGGGACACACGACCCCAACGCCTAGGAGAGATGATGTGGATCCCTGACTGTTATTCAGGTTTGTGTTAACTCATCGCTGACTCTCCAAGGAGGATTCCAGATGTCTGGGCACAACCACCATATCTGCCGAGTCACTTGCTGCTGCCCTAGGAGAAAAAAGATGCTCATTGGGAGGCACCCGTCCCTCCTCTCCGAGCCGCACAGGTTCGGCTCCCGGAGCCCGAGGTGCCTCCCTCCTGCGCTAGCGCTGCAGTGCGGTTCACCGCCGGGCTGGCTGGAGCTGCTGCCGTCGCCAGCGTGGGGAGCATGGCTTGCTGAATGCCTAGGGTAGAGAGGAGGGTGCACGAAAAGAGAGAGAAATCCTGTGGCGTGGGCCACCTTTGCGCTTAGGAGAACCACAGTCTGCTCTCCGAATGGTAGCAGCCTCTGGGTATGCTGTGGGTTCTTGCACAGTTAATGTGTGTGCAGAAGTTGATTCAATGGGCTGTCTTTTTTATTTGGTTTAAGTCTGGAGATATGTGATGCTGAAGTTAATTAATGAAGGTAATGCAAATCTGCATCAGAGTATTGCGTATAAGGTCACTAGTCCTGTTTAACACTGCAATACTGAAGCCTCAACAAAGAATGCACTTCTAGTTTTCCAGCACGGCTTTCAATCATGCGTGTCGACTTCAACAAAGTGACTCCAGCCCAAAGTCCCACAGGACCTGCAGCACACCCTAATGTCCTGCTCTGCTACAACGCTTTTCCCACCGCGCAGGGCTCCGCCGCCTCAGTCGCGCCCTTGCGATACCAAAGCTCTTACAGCTGACTCGCAGCGCTCGGAAGAGGCAGGATGCGGGAACTTCTAATTCCGTCTACGCAAGCTGCAGGCAAGGACTAATGAGTGAGACGAGATGGAGCATCAGGTGATTGCTTTCTGATTCAACAGGCGGGGGTTGCCGGTGAGGGCCAGATTTCATGTGGTGCATAATGGATGCTGAGCCTGAGTCACGGGGTGTGGCCAGGAGCCCGGGTCTGGCAGAAGAGGGGAGCTCTCCCCCGCCCTGGCACTTCCCACTGCCGCTGTCATGAAATGGATTCGGGTATTTTTCTTCTACCCGCATCCCTCCTTTCTGGAATTATTTCCCATCAGAAAATATGGCGCGCACCCGCTCCCTTGCCCCTGCGGAAGAATCGAGCCCAGAGAGTCGTCTTAAATCAAAAGTCTGGTAAAAATATATACAGCAGTACAGCTCTTGTCTGACGAAGCATGTTCACTGCAAAACTGGAACCTATGCAAAGCTAGTGCAGCAAATTACATACTTTGCTTACCTAACAACTGCTCTTTGACCAAAAAACAGCGAAGAAGGGCCAAGCTTGAAAATCTGTGTCTGATGCGAGAAGGTCCCGTGTGTCACATCAATACTGAGGCAGTCTTTCATTGGAACGGCACGGGGGGGGCGGGGGGAAACTGAGGCAGGGTGGCATCTGGATTGAACCGTGTGCGTTTGGCCCGTTCAGGAGCTCACGCTCATGGCTTGAGACTTGCATGTGCGCTGCTCACCGCTGTGATTCTGTACACATTTGGGTATCATGGGCATCGTTGTGAAATCCAGTTTACAGCAGTGCAGACGTATCAGATGCATCACTAGGAACTGCAGTTTGCAGCAGTAACAAGCATGAAGCACAAAGATTCCATCTCTTCAGTTTTAACGCAGTTTGGGAGGGTGGAGTGAAATGTTGAGGGCATATTGTGGTCAGACAGCTTTGTTCTGCCCCAGGCAACCATTACAATCACCAAAATAAATCAACAATTGAGAATTACATTCAATAATACATAACATGTATCAGGCTGGACCTGTTGTTATCAGGCTGCTGCACCTGCTTTGCTTTTCAGGCTGTTAATGAGAACGAGATGTGGTTTGTGGCTGCTTTCTCCCACCATTCCCACGGATGCTCCAGTACCTCTGGGGTTAAAGATCTGCCTGGCTCTCTATTTCTATCATTTTGACAGCTGGCCATAAAAATCCTTTTGTTGTATCAGTGTGGGAAACTTGAAAAGAGCCTGTGTAGGTGCAGATGATACACAAAATACAGTAAAGTGGGACCGGTGGAACCTTTTGGCACGTGTTTGTCTAACTTCCAACAGAGATAAATTCGATTATTTCTGTAACGTGAAAAAGGCATCTAGTTAATATGGGGGCTGCCCATCTACCCTATGATTTAACATACATGCTGCAGTATGCAAACGGAAGGGATGTATAGCAGGTCACTTCAAGCCTGGAGGGAAACTGCGGGGATTAATTATTCCTTAAGGGCTCCTTGCGCTGCAGACTGAATGCCCTCACATCCTGTTAGCATTTCTGCCTTGAGAACAGCAAGATAAATGACAATGTAAGCATACATATGGTGTGGTTTCATAATTTGTGATAAAAACATCTGCATTCTGTGTATCGCTGCGAGCAGACGCTTACAGCCTAGGCCAAGGCACCAAAATGGGAACCTAGTAGGTAGGTGTGTAGTAGGAGGGTGGAGGGTCTGTAAATTCAGCCTCAAGTTTCTACAGAGTCTTTATTAAAGATACAGAATGAAGCTTTAAATGACACTCTGCTTCTTGAAAGACTGAAGTAGGTAAGATTTCACCAGGTCGCTTAATATACCTTCATTTTTATGTTTAGCTTAACTTTGATTTACCTCAACTGTTCTTTTCATTTTGGAAATATTTCAGGGACAATTTTTCCTACTTATGCATGTTGTAATCAAGAGGTTTTGGGTCTGGGCACCTCCGGACAGTTTGTAGCTGAAGTTATCCAACTCCCTGCACAAAGGTCCTCCTTGACTTCACTGGGGAAGGAAGCTGGTGCCTTCTGATGGCTTTACAAATGGCTTGTGTCTTAGCAGGAGGTGCCGGTAGCACCACAGCTTCCCACCACACCTAGTAAGAACAGGAAGCCATCCACATCCAGAAACCAGAGGGTTCTTTGCCAGGTAGCACTGACGGACCATGTGTTTCCTTTCACAGGTACCAAAACCAAGGAAGGCGTAGTGCAAAGTGTGACCTCAGGTAAGAGCACAACCCTGAGAGTGATGTGGAAATACGTGATGTGTTGCTGGGCCTCATGATAAGGCCATCGTTCCTGCCAAATGGAAGGTCTCTGGGTGACATCGCTTATCTGCATGACCTTCCATTTGATGAATGGAGGATGCTTGCCAGGAGCAACGGGTCAGGGTCCTGGCATTTGCCGTGCACATGGATAGGAGAAAATATTTAATCAGTAGAGCAGGTCAAAAAAAATCTAGCAAATGTTACTTGGCAGACTTGGATGATTCACAGCAATTTAGACATTTCACAATGCCAGGAGTGCTGCCCAGCATGCAGAGGGGATTTACTTGCATCAGCTCCTGCCGGGCCAAAACTATGGTCTTTGGGAGACTCCTCTCAGGCAGTCACAGAGTCAGGGAACCTGAGGGAACTTTCTAGGTATCCCAAGCTCCAAGGTGGGTCAGCCTTTTGAATTGTCATGGAGAGAGATGAATGGATCCTTGCCTTGGAGAATTTAATGACTAAATTGCTTCCTCCTTCCCCCCACCCCAGTGTATTAAATCAAATGGAAGGTACCCAGAGAGAGGTCATATGCAGTCTGCAATGCAAAATACCTTATGTGCACAATTATCGCTTAGGATCTTACAGTGAATTTTTCATTCTCCAGTTGCCCCCAAAGACTGACAGGCTGCAGTGCTGTTTTCTGAGCAGCACTTTGAGGCAGACAAAACCCTCCACGTACTTGATCTAAATTTGGATCTCACGTAAAAAATCCAGATAAGGACTTTCTTCTCTTACCTCGATGCACTTGTTTTATTGTCCCAGTGAATTTGGCAGCCTTTTGGCAATGCCTAGCTCATGGACTTTCTGCTTTTGTTGAAATTCCAGTTGCTGAGAAGACCAAAGAGCAGGCCAATGTGGTGGGAGAAGCTGTAGTAGCCAGCGTGAACACAGTGGCAAACAAGACTGTAGAAGGAGCAGAGACCATCGTGGCTACCACAGGAGTTATAAAAAAGGTATGTTTGTTACTTCGGTGATGAGCAGGACAGAAGAGTTGTCTTTGGCTAGCACTTAAAATACCTGCAAACATATACAGGTGGTGGTTTTACCTATTCAATGAGAGGTTTTCAGCAATATCTGCTTTTATATAATGCTTATTATTATTATATAATGCTTAACATGTAATCACAGAATTGTTTAGTTTGGAAGGGACCTTTTGAGATCGTCTAGTCCAGCCCCCTTAGGATCAATGAGAGTAGGTTGCCCAGGACCGTGTCCAGTTGGATTTTTAATATCTCCACGGATGGAGACTCCAGAGCATCCCTGGGCAACCTGTGTCAGCATCTGACCACCCCCACAGGAAAAAAAGAATTGTGTTCAGATGGACACGTTGTCATGGTGCTAAGCCCCACCCAGCCGCTCACTCACTCCCCCCGGTGGGATGGGGGAGAGAATTGGAAGGGTAAAAGAGAAAACTCATGGTTGAGATAAAGACCGGTCAATAGGGAAAACAAAAGCCACACACACAAGCAAAGCAAAGCAAGGAATTCATTCCCTGCTTCCCATGGGCAGGCAGGTGCTCAGCCATCCCCAAGACAGCAGGGCTCCATCACACGTAGTGGTGACTTGGGAAGACGAACACCATCACTCCAAACATTCCCCCCTTCCTCCTTCTTCCCCCAGCTTTCCATGCTGAGCATGATGTCATACGGTGTGGGATCTCCCTGGGGTCAGTTGGGGTCAGCTGTCCCGGCTGTGCCCCCTCCCAGCTACTTGTGCCCCCCCAGCCTCCTCGCTGGTGGGGTGGGGTGAGGAGCAGCAAAGGCCCTGGCTCTGTGTCAGCCCTGCTCAGCAGCAACGAAACCATCCCTGGCTTATCATCAGCACTGTTCAAGCACAAATCCAAAACACAGCCCCATACTGGCTACTGTGAAGAAAATTAACTCTGTCCTAGCCCAAACCAGCACACCCATGAATCGATTTGTGCCCACTGCGTCTTGTCCCGTCAGAGCAAGAGCCCGGCTCCACGTTTTCCCATGAATGTAGAAAAGCATTTTTTCCAGGGACTCGAGCAGAGCTGCAGCCAGGCTGCAGTGAGCCCCTGGCCGGAGCCAGAGCTCTGGGGCGAGCTGGGTGCGAAGGCAGGGGCCCCACCTGCGTGAGACACGGCCTTGGTCTTGGTCTTGGTCTTGGCCTTGGCCTTGGCCCAACCGAGCGCTTATTGATAAAGGCCGCGTGACCCCAGTTGTGCACGGATTAAGCTGGCTTCAGACAAGGCATCTTCTGTCTCCCAGCCTAACTGGACAAAGCAAGTTGCTTCAAGTGAGGGGATTAAGGGACGTGTGAAGGAGCAGAACAGCTCCCTAGGTGGGGGCAAAGCTGACGGTTACAGAAGATGCTTTCACCAGGCAGTAGCAAACAGCAGCCGTCGGTTCGGTCCATGAGGCTGATGCTTGGTGGCTCTTTGGTAAGCCCGGCTGCCGGCTCTTTAGAGAGCCGTGCTCGGGAGCATCGATAGCGGCATAAGCTGGATGAGTCACAGCAAACCCAAACCCAGAATCGAGGCAAGGCTGGCCAAAATTGTTTTAATTGTTCAGACAGTTGGCTGATGGATTTCCTGAGCTGCACATAAACACATTGTGATGTGAAACAAAACTTCTACACAGCATATAAATCCTGAGAGAATAGCCTAACAAAAGAGGAGACCAGCAGCTACGAGTGACGCAAAATGTCCTTCTGAAAGCATGTGAAAAAGGCAGATACAGAAGTTCTGCTAAGCCCTCGGGATAAGATTAATCTTTATTCCCATGGGGAACAGCAGTTACGCTGCAGGAGTGCAAACAGTGATTCCTAATTCCATGGGGCCAGACTACCCCCCCCTTACCTTTTGGCTGACCGGGTGCGGGGTGGTTGACCCAGGAGAGCTGGGAATTTGCTGACGGTAGGAATCTGTCCTGCAGATACTGAACCACCTCCCCTTCTGGCAAGGACTGAGCAGCAGCAATCCTCTTCCCCTTTGGTCCTAAGGGAGAGCCTTCCCTCAAAGACTGATGAGCTACAGCTTACAGGTGGTAATTTCACAGCTCGAAGCAGTTGTTGTTATCCATTTCCATCCTTGTGCAAATAGTCCCTTAGAAAAACAGCGACTCCTTCACCCTAGTAATGGTTCTGGGTCGTGCGCACTGCAGGCAATATGCAAAAGCCCTGGGTTTTCCAGACGATTAAAGCATTAAGCATCTGAACTGTCATTCTGGCATCTTCCATCGATGTCCACCTGCTTAGAGTTAAAATGGGGATTGATCAAGAAATAAATAAGTGGGGTGTGTCCCATGCCTAAGGGAACGAGGGAAATAAGGGAAGCAGGAAACTGCTTTGGAGACAATATCAGGGTGTCATGCCAAATAGGAGAGGTGGGCAGTGGAATGAAAACAGGAGAAGAAAAGCAAGGCAAAAGAAGTCACAGGAGAAACAAACTCAGGAGAAATGTTTGTTTCTGTGAAAGAGAGGGGTTATCTGCTCTAGCATTTTACTTCAGCTTAAATTAGGAGTGCAAATCTCCTAGTCCTGCTCACTCAGCATCCTTCAGTTGCATCCGTTAGCTACCTGTTGGATAGCAATGACACGGAAGGTGGAGCTCCAAGTGCATCCCAGCTGCTGATGGTTGATGGCCATGGGGCCAGAGCTGCTCCAGAGGGAGGGCCCTGAAAGGAGTAGAGGGGCTGTGCTGGGCTCTCGGCACCAGCTCTTTTCTCTCCATGTCTGCTCCTATTGTGCCACACGATTTGCTCATGGAAATAGAGCCAGAGGTGCCAAGAGCAGCACCGGACACTGTAGCGCCTTTGAGAGACCTGCTGGAGATACACTAGGAGTGATACAGTATAGCAGCTAGACGTTTAAAAAAATAAATATCTACTGTTAAAATCTTGCAATCCTGAAATTATACCCAAGCGTTCCAGCCCCCAAAGTTTGAGAGAGCTGTTGCGTCCAGTCCTGAGACTTGCTTGTGCTCCGTCCTGTCCTCCTCCTTTTTAATGGCAAAGAGCAGTAGCTAATGTCTTATTTCTGTTTTCCACTATCTCCAGCATTATTCCCTGCTGCTTTTATAGAGGGGTTGTTCTAAGCACCAGGGGATCTGGGTGAACGCACTGTGAGCTCTGAGCAGTGCTACAGGCTGACTCAAATCTGGGGAGTCGAGTGGCCTGGGAAGCATGTCCCCAGCTCAGCGTTCCCAGTATTAATATCAATTACGGAGAGCTTGTTGACATTTCATCTGCGCGCTTGACAGCTTGGATCAGTGGTGGGCACATACTAGCAAGGAGCGGGGAACTCTAAGGATTCTGGATTAAGTTTTGCTCGGTGCGGCAGCTGAGGGGTGGCTGAGCTCTCTGGGTGTATCAGATGGCAACTTTGGCCATGGGGAAGAATCCAGCCCTTCGTGGAGCACGGCAGGTGCTGAAATGTGGGCACATGTGGGGCAGTTGGCAGCACGCTGCTCCTTGTTGTCCTCGGTGGGAGCACTCAGAGCCAGGCGGAGGGAAATGGGGCTGAAGTAACTCTGTGCTTATGGAGGGGTGCCAAGCACCAGAGGAGAGCAACCTTGAGTAGCTTTGGCATCGCCTAGTAGGGCGTTGGCACTGGCCTGGTCACTGCTAACAGAGTACAAGAAAGTATGGATTGATTTGAGGAGGTTTTAATTATTAAGTCAAAAATAAGTACGTTAAAAGACCATAAACCCTCCACAATTTTTCTGATGCGCAGAGGAACAAGACCCATCAGTAATGTGTTTTGTCTGTGGCTCTGCACTCACCCCAGTCCCTGGGGTGGACATTAAGGGATTTCAGCGAGATAAACTACTAAATATCCCTGTCTTAGAAGAGGATTAATTCTTCGTCTGCATGACACAGCACAAAGTTTGCTGCATTGCAGACACCACGTGGCTGGGAACAAGCGCCTGTACGTACACACACACACTCACAAAACATCCCTCAGCGACCGGAGGAATTTCCCCAGTAGCTGATGTTCCCTGCACCATCCACCTAGAGCTTCGCTTTAGATCCATTTGCCCTGTCAGTTTTTATACGGTTTAGTTGTCAGTTCAGGGCTCTGTCATTTCGAATTGCGTTTGATCTTTTTGCTATTTCACTCCATTAATTATTTGAGCAGTCGTCAGTTATGTGCAACTGCTGGGCGCGTTCGCCGGATCACATCGTTTCTCTCTGCCCTTGATCTATCACACGTGCCCCATATCCCTACCGCAGCTTATCGCTTTCGTAACCACTGCACATTCTGAATGCGAACGGTTGATGTTCACGGCCTTAATTCTGTTCACTTAAACCCTGTGATGCTGGTGACGCAAAAACAGTCGCACCAAAGGAGTTAGAGGCAGAAACCGATGTGTGACCTCCCTGTTTGAGTTCGTTTGGGCAGGGCGAGCACCACTTAGGAGAGAGCAACCAAGGGCATCTGAAAGGCCACCGAGGGCAGAGCTGCTAAGCAGGAGGAGCAGGGAAATCAACAGCCAAAATACCTTACAATTAAGTAAGAATAACTAGTCGAAACTCTTCACCCTTGGTATTCAAGCTTTGCTGTACTTCACTGATGCCGTGATGCATGCCGGTGGTATCCTTCAGCATCCCACGGAGCAGGGGAGGCTGCAAAAGCAGCGTGGGGTGGGGTACTCTGCCTACAGGGACTTTTTCTGTGCAGTTCTCTCAGTCTCGTTAGAGCATCCAGGCGTACATTTCTTGCAGTCAGGGTAGCTGAGTTAGCGGCGCTGGCGAAGCCTTAAAGTCTACAAGACTGCGTGTGCGCTTCACGGCTAGAGGCTGTGCCCCAGTAATGCTGTAGGAGGATAATGTAAACATTATTAAATATGTATTATTTGTATAAGCAGCCCTAGGAAGCGCTAAGAGGGTCTGGCTGTGAGCTGGATGAACACAAAGCTACCCCAAGAGGTCCACCTGGATCTGTCGGGTAAGACAGGAATCCTGTGCGCCCGTCTGTCTGTCCTGTCAGTGGGTACACTCACTGTAATCACAGGTTGACCTCTTAGTCAGGGCTGTCAGCATCACTGAGCACATTCAGCCCGAAACCCATCCAGGGCAACCCGTCCATAGGACCTGTCAGGTTGCCTAAGGGTTTCCAAGGGAGTGGCTTGGGGATGCTGCCAAGCAGCATTGCTTTTGCTCCAGCACCCAAGGTCAAGAGCACTACGGGAGGCCAAACCTTTCTCTGCCTTACGCAATTGATGTCCCATTGCAGGCTGTTAAATCTGTGGCAGATTAGGTTGCCAGTCAACCTCTCTGCTTTTACAGCCTTAAAATAATAATAGCAAAACAAAAAATCTTGCTTGCCACTGAATTTGTTGAATTTTTGATGAGTAATGTTCCAACATCCAACATTTAGACTCTGCATGTTTTCTCTGTTAGATAAGGAAGATAATCCTGATAAGGTGGCTTATCTCAGTGTTTTGGGGGATGGTAAAAAAAAAAACACTGGCCTATAACATAATATGGATAAAAATATAAATTCCATTTCATGCATGGACTCAGCCAGCGGAACGTACAAGACAGTCACTGAGCTGAAAAAGGGAATTTCATAGAACCTGTGAAATTGAAAAATCTGAAGAATCAAATTGTAATTACTTTTTTTTCCCAAAATCTGTGGACTTTTAAAATCTGTTTTTAAAAAACATATTAAAATATCTGAACCCAGAAGCCTATAGTATGCTCTATTTAAGACCTTTTAACATGGCGGCAGGAATATTTTTATAAATGGCAGGTCCTAATTTGTTTTTTCATTAATGATATATGAACATGTAACTGTTTCATGACCTTAAATAGTTGATTTTTTTATATAAATCCTCTATAGTATATATATTCTATATACAAATATATATTTTAAAAATATTTTAAAATTTGCATAGTATTCCTGTGATGAATTCTAAGGTCTTGTGTTTCACTTAACAATTATGTTAAACTACTTTGTTTTTCTCTCTTCTCTAGCCAAAAAGATTAACCCCTACCCCCCCCCAAAAAAATAGAAGAAAACAGCCCATAACGAACTAAATCAGTTTTTTTCATTTTAAATACTTTTTCCAAGGCAATACATAATTTCTGAGGGGGAAAAAAAAATCTGCTTGCTGTTTAAGAGCAGGAGGAGCATTACTAATAACTTCGTGTTTGCAACATGCCTTTCCCTTAGAACATTTTATTCCTTTTAATGAGGAGAAGAACAGTGAAAGGAAAGGCAAAGTTCTTGCTGCCCTCCAGAGGAGCTGGATTTTCACCCTTGCTTTCTCACCCAGCGTCACGCCGTGAGTCAGTGTTATAGCTGGGGTTGGTACCCAGGCATTTCTGGCTCTTCATCCAGAGTGAAGACCCTTACAGCACACGGTCCGCCTCTGTATTTTGTTTTCCTGACTAGTCACCGAAATCCCCAGCCGGCTGATGCCCAGCAAAGGAATGCAGCCCTCCCTCCTCTCGTGCTCGCTGTTCTGGGCAGGGTGAGAAGCGCGTGAGAAAAAGGCTGTGAGGCCACGTCCCTAACATGGCCTGACACCTCTTCATCCTGCGATTGTGCTGCAGTTTAGAAAAACTCCCCAGAAACATGGTCGCTTCCCTTTCTAAAAATAGGTGGGTGAGTCACTTTATCCGTCTGGAGCAGCATGTTGGCAGAGAGCACGATTTAAGGGATATAGTAAGGAGCACAATAGCTGAACCGGGATTCTTCAGCCCACTCGTCACGCTGGGGTGCAGCGTCCTGAGGAAGGGATCCCCTTTTCCGTGAGTCCTTCCACATCTACCAGAGCTGAGCTCCCTGCCCACGGGAGGAGTAGGTGGTCGAGCCCTGTAGAAAGACGGAGTGCGCTGCACTTGTCCTGGTGTTCTTACCAGCTGTCCCCCAGTTTTCCCAACGCAGCTCAGCACCTCAGGCAGTCGCCTTTGATTCACCTGCATGATTTCATATAGCAGCCGGTAACCTCACCTGCAAAAAACCCACCAGGTGCCCGCTGTTGCAGCTACTGTCATTGGCTTGCACTGCAGATTTCTTTTCTTTCCAACTAACAGTCAAAAAACTGCTTGTAAAGCTTCAAAATGCAATTTGAGGCTATTTACCTGCTTTGACCTAATGTGCACTGCTGAGTTACAAGGTGTAGTCCTTTTCCTACGGCCCTGTAGCACGTAAAGTGTTTTAAAGCCACAGACCAGATCCTCAAGCTGGACCAGCCTCCATAAATTCAGAGCACCAAGCTCTGTTTGCTGACAACAGGAGGGTTCACTCGTTTTGGAAAGGCTGTGGCAAAGCAGCTCCACTGGAGCAGTGCCCTGTCCCCAGCAGCCTCCAGCCCCTCCTGTGCCAGGAGCTGGAGACCAGAAACTGGTCTCCATGACGTGCACAGTTTGATGTCTTTAGGTTACCTGGGCTTACTTCACACAGGTCAGGCTGTTTCTAGCAAGAAACATTTCAGCCGACAATGTGATGCAGATTAATGGCACGTTTCTTAGGGGGAAAAAAAAAAAAACACTCTGTGCTTTTCACATGGAGACTCCCCCAGTGCCTGGCTTCTCTATAGACAAACTCTCGGCAGGGAGGTGAAGGGAACGCCTGGAGCTGCGGCCAGCCGTCAGTACTGGGCTGCAGCTCATGTTCTGGCCTTTTTCTTTCCTTGGTGGACTGATCTCTTACAGTAGCTTGCATGGAGAGCAGGGAGCCTATGGCAGAACAACCAGGTTGCAGTGCTTCCATCTCCCAGCTCTTCTTCCTGCCAAAAAAGGATCTGAAGTCCAATTTCCAGCTTAAATTTTCATGAGATCTACCTTGTATCTACATAACTCTGTGAAACATGTCTATTTTTTTCCTTTGTATCTCACATCACCTCTTCTTCTCTGATTCAGCCCCAAAAGCAGCAGGGCTGTTCTACTGGTGAGAACAGTCATGACTGGAGAGGAAAGTAAGGACACGTCTGAAAATGAAGGGTGGAGTCCCCCAAAACACCCGAGGCATGAAGTCAAGTTTACAGTAGGTTTGACAGGGACATTTGATTTGCACCGCATCAGCAGCAGCACCAGGGAAAGTGGTGGCCTCATGTTTGCAAAATATTGAAATTCAAATGACGTATCCCCCTTCCTTGCAAAACTGACTTTCTCTTTACGTAATATATGTGTCTTGGGTTCCTTCTATGGTGGCCCTGACTTCATGTGGGAAAAGAGCAAAAACTCAGGGATACTGTTGGGCATGTGTGCTCAAAGGGAACAGAGAAGATTTGTAACTTTGGTGGAGTTCCCTGGTGATTCGGGGCTGGACTATAGAGGTCCCACTGTTTCTGCTTCCCCCTGCTCTCGCTGACTGATTCCACAGAGGTGCGTTTCTGCTTTCTGTCCATCCCCTGGGCACACCGGGTGCGGTCAGGTTTTTTTGTCTTCTCTTCCCACATGGCAAAATCATGTTTAAAGTAATTGCCTGGCAATACAATCTTTTCTCTTCTTCTTTGAATAGGAAGGTAGCTGAAAGGTGTGAGGAAGTAGCTAAAATAGCCCAAAGTGCTTATGAAAATGCTTGGACCTCAAACACAAAGGGAAGCTTGTCCTTTGATAATGAAATTTTACCTGAAGGTTAAGCACCTTAATGCCACCGCAATATTGCTATATCTGAAATTAGTATTAGTCTATGCAACGAGTGCTTAGGGTAAGTGAGATCATGTA